GGCTATTCTGCTGAAGGTGGCTTCTCTAAGACATGATTGTAGTAGTCTCGTAACACTGGTGCACGTGGCTAAGGATATTTTCTTCCAAGCACATAGATGTGATCTAGTATACGAATTGATAGTCGGTAAAATGTGTGGGTATCTTTTTAGTCCTGTGGTTGTGTGCCTTTTGTTAGGCAAAGCCTGAAGTACGATTTTAAGACTTTGTATGATCTAGATCACTAGATGTAATAATGTTTTAAGAATTTAATATTAATAAAAGTTAACTTTATATATAAAAAAAGATATGGTGTAGCAGTAGGGCCTCTTGCTCGCTCGCTAGTCGTTTCAATGATCGGGGCGGTTTCTTTGCATTGCTTTTCCCGTGACTGGATCGGAACGGGTGACCACTGACGACGACCGGTGACCACCGGTGACAGTGGTTGCGTAGGCATAGACCGATAGAGTGGGCGGCGGATAGATGCCACGACCATGCCGGCATCTAGCGCGGCCGGAAGCAACGCGGGCAGAAAGCCAGAAACGCGGCGTGGTTGAAGGACGCAAGGATCGGGAGACACTGTAATGAGTGGCCGGGCGCCTCACATTTATCTGCACCATTAGGGCAAGGTCAATAATTAAGTCAAGTATTTAGCTATAAGTTAAGTTATAAAAGCTAAGCCATATAATATTTATTTTCTATTTGTCTAAAAAAAAGTTTTTTTATTATTATATGTACTATATCTTACTTTATCTTTTCTATTTCTCCTCACATACATTATTGTTTGGCCCACGTATGCCTATGTTCTGTGTCCAGCTTGATGCTAGAACAAAAGCCAAGTTCTTTTCTCTCACCTCTTTTCTCTCATTTGCATCAGTAAAAATGCTGACTAGTTTAGCTATAAGTCTATTACTGTATTTATGCTGGCTAGCTTGGCTATAAGTCCATTGCTTGCTGTACTTACTCTTAGTCCATAAGCAGCAGGCGAAACATGGCATAAACCTGTCAGCTGATCAACTCCTCCGACCCACGGCGTTGCGTGCACGAGACCTCCTCCAGTCCTTCTCCTTGCTAGGAGAGAAGACGTACGCTGGCCACCAATTGCCTTGCGCCGCCTGATCGAACCAACCAATCGGCATGTCTTACGTCGTAGCAGACTGTGCAACTCCGCTATCTGGACTAGTGGACTGGATCTACTACGCTCAGTGCGTGCCAAGCCGCCGCCGGCGCCAGCCGGGTGTGATCTCTCTCTCTCTCTCTCTCTCTCTCTCTCTCTCTCTCTCTCTCTCTGCAGCAGCGTGTGGAGCAGCCGCGCGCGCACTGTCGATCACGACATTCATGTTCATCTGTACCCTGATGCGACGGTGAATGGTTTAGGCCCTACGCCTCTACTGGACTTACCAGCTGGTCCCCCTAAGGAGTCACTGCCACGCTCTGATCTTCGTCGACTGAAAACGTCAGGAATAACTATAGATGGCCAATGGGGCGGCACGGCACGCCGTGCCTCACGGACCGTGCCTCACAGGGCCACGGGCCTGGCCTCCGGCCCAGGCACGACACTATGGGCTGATTTTCGTGCCGGCCTGGCCCGCGAAGCACGACCAATTTCACAGGCCGTGCCACGCCCGAGGCCCAACGCTGCCGACACAGAGAGAGAGAGGGGGGGGGGGTCGACGCCACTCGCCGCCGAAGAGATCGACGTCGGGGACGCCACCACCCTAGATCCGCCGCCAGGAGATGCCACCACCCTTGATCCGCTGCCGGAGGACGGGCATGCCCTGCATCCGCCACCGGTGAGCGCGCCCACCCTGGATCCGCCGCCGGGGAGCGCCACACGCCTCCTCGCGCATGGATCTGGTCGTCCTCCGCCTCCTCGCGCCGGATCTCGCGAAGCCGCAGGATCCGGATCTCGTCGGGGCTGCGAGCTCGGTGGATGAGCCGCCGCTCTAGGGCCATGTGTCGTCGCCGCCATGGAAGAGAAGGGAGCCGAGCGGACCAGAGGAGGGAGAGGGAGGGATGGAGGCGAGCGCACCAGAGAAGGGAGAGGGAGGGTGGCCAGCACACGGCGAGGGAGAGGGAAGGAGGGAGGGAGGCCAGCGCACGGAGGGAGATGGCTGCGCGCGGGAAGGAAACGGCCGCGCGGGTAGGATTTAGGGTTCGGTGTGAGGGTGAGGCGGGGGGAGGCGTCGAGGCGAGAGGGACCTGAGCTGAATGTCGCTCTGGCCTGGGGGCGCGGCCGCGCGGGGTTGGCAGGCCGGGCCGCTACTCTTAGCAGGCCGTGCCGTGCCGGCCCACATGCCTAGGGTAAGGCCCAGGCACGGCCTGCTCCTCCAGGCCGGGCCAGGCTGGGCCCGCTAGCCTCCGTGTCGGGCCGTGCTTGGGCTGGGCAAAAAAACGGGCCTTGGGCCGGGCCGACGGGCTCGGACTGCATGGCCATTTATTGGAACAACGAGGCCTTGTTTACTTGCCGCCTAAAACTTTACCCCTATCACATCGACACACATGCATAGAGTATTAAATATAGACTAAAAAATAACTAATTATACAAATTGCGACTATTTTACGAGACGAATCTTTTAAACCTAATAAATCTATGATTTGACAATAAAGTGCTACAGTAACACATGTGCTAATAACAGACTAATTAGGCTTAATAAATTCGTCTCGCAGTTTACTGACGGATTCTGTAATTTGTTTTTTTATTAGTACCCAACCACCTCATGCGACACCCCCATGTAACATCCGACGTGACGTCCTGAAATTTTACACCTGTATCGAAACACCACAGCGTAACGTTGTACTAACAGTGATTCAGATCCCCGGCCGAACCGTACTGTATTCGGCATCAATGTACCAAAACTAACCCTACAATTACCGCGCCATGGCTGCACTAATATTCTGCAGTCGCATGTACAAATCTGAACTCGATGTTGTGTTGGCCTGCTGATCGCTTTTCATGTGGACACACCCCCGGAGCTGGAGCCCTGGTACAGGTACTCGGGCACTGTGAACAATGTTAGCAAGGCTGCCCGAAATGATTTTGGTCACCTGTACCCTGTGGAAACATAGGAATGAGAGGACCTTCCACCAAAAGGAAAAATCGACGCAGGTGAAGTGAGCGTACCTCTGGTTGGATTTTTTATGGTGAAACATGTATATTCGGGTTCATGTCTTCGATTTAATATAGACGTTCGTATTTTTCTAGATTTATTTTAGGATTTAACAGCGCTATTCTTTCAGTTATAGACGATGTGTCCGTCGACAGTGAGCCGTTTGTGGTGACTTCGTCAATCTCGAGATTTACCGGTCCAACTTAGTTCTTCGAATGTGCTCATAGAGATAGAGTGTGCATACGTGCGTTTGTATGGGTAAGTGTGCACTCGTGTATGTGAGCGTCTATAACTTGGCCTTAAAAAAAACTTCTTCGAAATAATCGATGAGAGGCTTGGACATGGGGCCTGCAGGAGAAAAACATATAAAATTATTGAGGTTTGCTACGGTGGACGATCCATGTATACGTAGATCAAGATGGTTGTGATCAACTATTACCTACTATGAGGTAATTCGATAAATATATATTTACATATTTTATTTTAAAAAATGGAAAATAATTAGGAAACAAAATCTTGTAACCAGATCTAACATGCATGTGATTTGTGATAAGATCCCAAAGTGATTTTCGGATACTTGTTGGAACATGCTTAAGACCTTTTTGGAACGTGACTCTACGTAGTATGTTTTGTTTTTGGAATTTGGAACATAGCTCTTGCAATGTTTTTTTTGTTTGAATGTGATATAAGTAACACTTTTGTTTGAACATGATGAGTAACGAACTAACGATTTTCTTTCTTGATTAATGTGACATAAACCAAGCGAATCATATATCATAGAGAGGTGTGCACACTAACATGACTTATTAAAGGTAAATTGGCGCATGAAAATAATCTTCGGAGAAAATAAGCATTACAAAACTGATTTTCAGCAATAGGACATTTTGTAGAGGTGGGTCAATTTACAGCCGCCTCTACAGTTACCTCCAAACCGAGTAACCTCTAAATTACATTTATAGAGGTGACTCTGTTCGAACCGCCTCTAGAAATCGATTTTTTAGAGGCGGCTCTATTTCCAGCCGCCTCTAAAAATAGGAGTTGCATAGTAAAATTTGAATTTTTCAAACGATTAAAACAAAAATCGTAGATCTCAAAAAGTTATGTAACTTTGTAGTTGATATTTTTTTTCATTTAAAATCATCTATACATGGAAAATTATGTTTGAATTTCTCACATTTGAAATTCAAAAAATTCAAACGACCTTAGCTGGAGAAACGACCAAAACCAAACATATGGATCTCGAAAAGTTATAAACATTTATAGTTGACAACTTTTTAGAGTTCCAAATACTCATTTCAAAATCGGATGAAGATGGAACGAGGAGAACGAATATCCCCAATAAACACAAGTGTGTTTATAGGTGGAGTGGTTAGGCGATGAACGCATGAGGTATGAGGTCGCGGGTTCGAACCACGTGGCATAAGGTCACGGGTTTGAACCATGCAACCGCGAGGTGCGCGAAAAAAATCACGTGACTTGTGTGGCTGTCTAGTGAGGACTTCAGGGATTATTGTTATTTTGCTTTTTTTTTTGCTCGGATTTTTATTTTTGGAACAACGGATTTGCAGAGAGACGGCTCGAAATGCAACCAGGTCAGTAGATCGATTTCTAGAGGCAGTTGTAGAGATAATAACCCACAATTGGTGGCCCAAACCAGACCAGGCGGGCACGTATGCCCAGTATTTTTAATTTATTATTTATTTATTTATTTATCATTATATATAAACAGGCCGGGCCATTGTCACAAAGAGAGTAGATAACCAGCCCACAGTTGGTGGCCCAAACTAAACGACAGCCACGAGCCAATTCCGTGGCCATGCGCACCAGCGACTGAAAACACCATGGTTATGTGACTTATTACATCAGACTAACACAGAGTGACTGCGAAACGGGTCCACACGAGACCGCCCGAGTTACATGGGGAGCTTGTTGATCTTGCAGTGCTGGTAGTCCTTGTACTTCTTGGCCTTGTACTTGGCCGGTCTCTCGTCCGTGACCAGCTTCGGGTGCGGCCCGACGACGAGCTCCCCCGGCGGCTCCACGAACACCGGCCATGACATCCGCGTCTTCACCTTGTTCACCGTCGTACGGTGCAGCACCGCCTTGTACGTCCCGTTGCTGAAAATCTACTCGATCCGTACATGTGCATGTTCAACGAGACATAAAGAAACTCCGTACCAGTTAGTAAGAGTGTCCGCATCACACCATAGACGTGTGGTGTGGGAGCGATCAGAAGAGAAAAAAAGATTGCTTAGTCGCGTGCACGCTTGCCTCGATCTGATCGCCGATGTGGACGATGAGCGCGTCCGGCACGTACTTGGCGTCGTACCACTGACCATCCTTGAAGATCTGGAGGCCCTGCACATCGTTGGGCACGAGGACGGTGAGCGTGCTCATGTCGGTGTGCGGCGCGACGCCGAGCGTGAGCTCCGGCTGCGGGCACGGCGGGTAGAAGTTGATCTTCTGCAGGAACACCAGGCCGTCGCCGCCGAACGCCTCCGCCATGGCGCCCTCGTGGAGGCCGAGCCCCAGCGAGAGGTGCTCGAACAGCTCGCGCGTCAGGCGCTGCATGTGGCGGCAGTACTCCTCGTTCGCCTCCCTGTACCCGGCAACGGCGAGGCTCTCGGGCCAGACGGCGTGGTCCACCTTCTCCGGCGGCGCGACGACGTGGAAGAAGAAGTCGTTCCACGTCTTCTTGCCCTCGAGGTCCCTCTGCAGCTTGGTGCCGTAGCCCTCGATCTTGCCCGACGCCGGGTCCATGGCGTAGCGCTCCTTCTCCTCCCGCGGCAGCGCGAAGAAGGCCCACCCGACGCGCTGGAGCTCGGCCACCGCCGCGGAGGGCACGCCGTGGTTCACCACCTGGAACAGCCCCCACTCCCTGGCGGCTACGGCCATGCGCGCGCCGAACCCGGGCTCCGACATGTCGATCACCGGCGCGTCCGGCGCGGCGGCCCCGCGGTACGTGGTCGCGCCCGGCTGGTCGTGCTCAGACCGCACGAACTCCCGCGGTAGCGCGCACAGCGACGCCGCCAGCTCCTGCACGCTCTGGTGCGTCTCCTCCCCCATTGCAGGAAGCAGGGCCTTGCGCGCACGCAGGCACCGGGGAAGAGAGCACTGAATTAATAGTGTAGTGTCGTGGACACAGGACACGAGTGAATGCCTGAGTGGCGTATGGCACAGACGCGGTGCGGATTGTGTATCTGGAGCAAACAAGTTAGTTCCAGCGTGATTAACTGCCCGAACCGGGCGTCATATGGCCATCCCGCACCCTTAGGCGTATTTCGCCCGTGTTTGGTTGTCTTACTCGCACTTTTTTCCTGCTTCCTCTTGTACAGATGCCCTCTTCCACCCCGGACGGCGCTGTCTTCTCGATCCTCACTTCCCTCTCGGTGTAGGCTTGTACGGTGCTTGGCGGGAACCTTTTCAGAGAGCGTGGGAGATGAGGCCGTCCTAGCGATAAAAGCGCGCGCGCGGGTCGCGGCTAGGGTTACCGCCCTCAACTACTACAGATTTGGACATCACTGTCGGATTTGTGAGAACCGACAGTGATGTACGCTTTCGAGCTTGAAAACGAGAAAATGATTGAGGCTGGGCTAAAATCAACATTGAAGGACCACATCACTGCCGGTTGTTAATATACACCGGCAGTAATATCTATTTACTGTCGGTTGAATTACCAAACCGGCACTGATCCATACTCCCGGATCCGAAAATTTTATCCATCACAGTAACTCCGCACGCCTCCCAACTCCCAACTCTATCTGCTCCTCCCAACTTCCAAGCCCGACAGACTATCTCCTCCTCCCCAGATCTCCCCACGCCTCCACACCACGGCAACCCGAGCGGCTCGGCGGTCGGCACGGATCCACACCGGCACGGGCACGAGGCCGCCGGGCATAGTCGGGCGGGGACCGACGCGAGAACGGCTGCGTGGCTCGGCGCGCGGATCCACCCCAGCACGGGCACGGGGCCACCGCAGGCGCGGTCGTGCGGGGACCGGTGCGAGCGCGGCCGCTCGGCTCATCGCGAATCCACCCCGGCGCCGGCATGACTCACGGTGTTTTCTCTTTTCTCGCTCTTCTCTCCTCGGCAATCTCCCTTTCCGATGCTCTCTCCTCTCTCTCACACACTGTGTCTCCTCAAATCTGTCGTCATTGGGGTGGTGACTGGAAGCGCGGCGTCAGATCAGGCGTTGGAGCGACTTGGCCTGTCCGGCTGCATCCCCAATCTCCCCCTCCTAGCCTCCCCTCCCCTTCCTCTATGTTGTGTGAATCAATTTGTAGATGAGTTATTTTATTTGTGTTGAACCCTGCTCCTTTGTCTATGATGTACGAATCAATTTGCGGATGGGTTGATTTGTGATGTGTTGAACCCTTCTCCTTCGTCTGTGATGCACGAATCGATTTGCGGATGAGTTTTTCTGATGTGTTGAATCCGTCCTTTGCTTGTGATGTATGAATTTTTTTCTTGGATGAAATGCTTGATGTAGTGGCGGCGGTAGCCAGCGAGCATGGTGGTGGCAGTGGCGGTAACGAGCATGCTCCAGCCAGCATGCTTGTTGGATTGCTTTTTTTTGTTTTTCTAAACCTTATCACTGCCGAGTGAAGTACCGGCAACAGTAGCCAGCAAGCATCACTGCCGGTATGCCACTGCCGGTTAAAAATTCGGCAGTGAAGGGGGATTTTGAACCGGCAGTGATGTCAAAAATTGGGGTAAAAAGCGCAACTACAGCTCCAACCGACCCCCAGGTGCGCAAACTCTGCCTCGTCCGACCCCTGAGGGTTGGCTCTGTCTCGCCCGACACCGAGCCCACGGGGGTCGCCTCGTCTGACCCCTGAGGGCAGACTCCGCCTCGCCCGACCTCTGGGGGTGGGCTCCGCCTCGCCCGACCCCTAAAGGTTGGCTCCGCCTCACCTGACACCGAGGCCATGGGCTCCGCCTCGCCCAACACCGAGGCCGCGAGCTCCGCCTCGCCCGACCCCTGAGGGTTTTGTCGGGTTCATAAACCCGAGGTCCCTCGGGGACCGGCTTCCACGCCAAGGCTCGGCCCAAGCAAACATCACACAACTCATAGGCCGGCCCAAGGGTCTAAAACAATAGGCCGAAAGGGCGGGCCAGTCACCGACCGGAAGTTCTGGCCGAAGAGGAACAACGCCCGCTTGTCGACTGCTTCGACCCACCTCTCCGACCGGAGCGCTTGCTTCGGACTCTAGCCGTCTCCGGACGGCCTCTCCGATCGAAAGGCCTGGCCCAAAACGCTACTTCCGACTCCGATCCCGCGTCTCCGACCAGGGTCCGCAGAAACCCTGCTCACCACTCTTCTCTGACTGGCGCGACCAGGGTTGACTGGGGCCATCCGACCGAGGACGCCCGCTCGGAAGGAACCAGGGGACGAATAGAGAAAGCGAGCCAGGGCGCACAAAGTCAAACCACGATACCAGGGACCATACCCTGTACACCTGCAGGAACAGTACTCTGCAACCGCCTTGACACGAACAGTGTTGTAGGCGCCGGCATTTCCCTCTACAGTATTATAGGCGCCGTTAACTCCCATACGGTAAGGCCCCCCACATGCCTCTGGGCATCAATAGTGTTGTGGGCGCCGGGATTTACCGTACCAGGTGAACGTGGTGAAACTCCTCACATGCCTCTAGGCATCAACAGTACTTGCAGGTACCGACTTCTGCCATTTCTGAAGAAGGCAACGCAACCTCCCATTTGCATCTGACATTCTACAATGACAACCAACAGTGTTGCAGGCGCCTACCATTATCTTGTACCCGCCGGCATGGACAACAGAGCCCAGTAGCATACGTACCCTCACTCTCTCACTTGTAAAGCCATCCCTTTTATCTATAAAAGGGGATGCGCTCCCTCCAACAAAGGAGGGCTTTTCCTTGTTAGTCCCTTTCAGAACCAACATCGATCGAGTTCATCAGCTCACAACCACAGAACCGCCGGGTTCGTACCCCAAGCACATGCTTAAACACTTAGCTCATAGTGGAGCTCCTGTCGCTCTCGGCCATTCCGACCGGAGCCGATCGGACCTCTTGTACACCCCATCTTTCTCCTTCTCGTTTGTAACCCCACTGCAGACTTCGAGCACCTAGGCTCAGGAATAAAGTCACCGACCGACTTAAACTGGACGTAGGGCACGTTGTCTGGACTAGTATAAACCTTGTGTCATTAGGTGCTAGGCCACATCCAATCATAGCGTACAACAAAACAACAAATATTTACTAGTTGGTCATATTCTGCACCGATAGGTTGGCGCCGCCTCGCTCGACACCGACGCCGCGGGCTCCGCCTCGCTCGACCCCTGAGGGTAGCTCAGCCTCGCCTGAGACCAAGGCCGCGAGCTCCGCCTCGCCCGACCCCTGAGGGCGGACTCCGCCTCGCCCGACACCAAGGCCGCAGGCTCCGCCTCACCCGACCTCTAAGGGCTGGCTCCGCCTCGCGCGACCCCGAGGCCGGAGGCTCCGTCTCGCCCGACGGAGGCCCATACCACCGCCAACCACTCCAAGTCCAAGCGTATGGGCCTAGACCAAGGCTCTGACGCCAGAGAAGAGACTGGCATGCCTCAATGTAGCATGCGCCCCATGACAGGTCATACCTAGGGGTCACGTCAGGAACAGCGTTAGGCGTACCGGTGTTGTTCTGCCTAACCTTCGTACGAACACTGACGGGCGTGTCAGTTCACCACGACGTCCGCCAGGACGGAGTGGAGCGCCATGACCAGCAGATGACGCCTGCATATGGCGCCAGTGACGAACAGGGCCGCGACGAGAAGCAGTCCCTATTGACGTCTACAGGGTCGACGGGACCCACATAGAGGAGAAGGACCAGGCGATCCTAAAGGACTTCTTCCTCTCGTTCTCTTCTCCTTCTCTACTGTAACCCGTGCTTTTCCTTGGTCTATAAAAGGAAAAGCAGGGCGTCCCATAAGGGTCATCGCAACACATCGCATCAATTCAGACTCGAACCCATCGAGCATCGAACCAATCAGAACACACAAGCCCACAGCCAGGAAGCGACCGAGCTTTCGACACCCGTTCGCTCCTCTCATCAGAGACTTGAGACCCGTCCCTCTCTTGACCGTTTGTAACCCCTACTACGAACTTTTAGTGCTAGTAACACGAGCAGCAGCAACGAACTGGACGTAGGGACATTCTACCCGAACCAGTATAAACCTCGTGTCCTCTTAGCACACCATCCAAGTCAGACGCGCAGTATTAGAAATTTACTAGTCGGCGACAACTCGAAACACCGACACGTGCACAAACCATCCAACGAAAATCTAGACAATATCGGTTTCTATTGATACTGCATGGAAATACAATCCTCGAAGGCTCTTATTCCTCCGTTGTGAATATATGTTGTTTTGGCTTTTTTAGGTAGTAGGTTTTTTTATGTACCTAAATATATGCTATTCTAGATATATTAAAAAAACTTATATATCTACAAAACCAATATGATATATATAATTTAGAATAAATGAAGTATCACTATGGCAAAAAGAAAAGAAAAGATTATCTAGCACCGCTAAGAGCGGTCCAGGCAATTTGATGCATGTTTGCGGCACTAATTTGGGGGGGGGGGGGGGTTCAAGTGCACCCAAGGCCCCAACTCACCGCCGTGCACATGCATGGCAGGTCGTCCCTTGTTCATCCATGTCACAGAGACATGTAGAGTCTCTCTGAAACGATCCTAGAGCATGTTCTGCAATTCTTTTCATTTTTCCATCTCAGTTTTGCTGCATGTTCCTGCAATCATCCCCGTGACAATAGGCAGCAAGCAATAGCACCCCATTTTGCTCGTTTTTCCATCTCGATCAGTTTTGCTGCATGTTCCTGCAATCATCTCCGTGTCGATAGGCAGCAGCACTAGCACCCCATTTTGCTTGAGAGAAAAGGACGGGGATGTATCATGTCAGCTGCGTAGGTCCTGTTTGTCCCTCCAGTTTTTGCCAGTTTTAAATAATCTGATTTTTAAAAATTGGGTGGGATCAAACAAACCAGTTTTTACTGTAAGTTTTTATCAGATTCTTAAAAACCAAGAAATTGTTA